CAATAACATAACATCAGACGTAATAAATGTTTAAAACGATGGTACTTAAACAACGACGAAACAATTATAATAGAAGACGTAATAAGACCTTATTACAACGATATTTATATTCCGTCGTGATATTTAAATTCAAACGACGTTAATATTAATATAACATCGTGGTATGAAAATTCACACGACGTGAATAATAAGATACCGTCATCTATATAAGATGGAAAACAAAAACAGTGAAGTTGTTCCAAACCCTTCATTCTTTGTCTTTGTATTTTATCAAATTAGGAAAACAAAAACCATGGTTCAGAGAAATCAAACCTGCAATGAATATATCTTAGACAAGCAAATAAAAAAACGAAGATCATTTTAAAAACAACTTAGAACAACTTTCAGACGATGCTAGGACGACTGACGAACCGTCGTGGTCTATAAATTTAACTACGTAAATAAGAAACTGCGGTCGTCTTATTTAGTTGAAGTAGTTGTGTTCAAATTTGGAAACTTTCCCTCTTTGTCTGTATATTTTATCAAACTTGGAAAGAATTAAAATGATTTTGGCCAGAAAAAAGGTAAAAATATTTTCAAAACAAAAACCGTATGAGCATGCAAAACAGTAACAAAAATAGTGAGAAATGCTTACCTTTTGCGTGCAATGAAAGCTTTCTCTCGGAGTTCGGTGTTTAAGTTCAAAGACGACGACGAAGACGATGAGATACACCGACTGTGCTCTGAGAAGGAAAAAAGATGAAAAGTTTTCTCTCGGAGCCTGAAATTTTTTCTCGGGTTTGGAAACAGTGCAAGTGTAAGTCAAGTAGACGAAAAGTTTAATATATTCACACACCGTTTCATAAAACGACGCGATTAATAGAAAGCGCCCTAGTATTATATATTAGACGTCGGTATATGTTTTCACCGCCCTAGTAAACTTTTTAACAACAGTTTTCATAAAATGCCATGTTTATATACAATTCCACGACGATATTATCTCCAGTGTCGGTTTTTTCATATAGCGTCATGGTTAATGATGTTTATACGATATTAAAATAACATCAACCGACATGGTTAGTAAAAAAGCCTTTTGACTTTTTGTATTCCGAAAACGACGTGGTTAGTTGGGAGCTACATGTCAAAAGTTTACTTTTAAATAAGTAATATTATAAGTTACCACGTCGTTTTTTATATTAAACCGACGTGGTTTTCAAACACCTCGTTAACTGATGTGGATATGAAATTTTTTGTATAAATTGATCAAGCCTGATAGGTGACTTAGTGCTTCTGAATACTCCTTGCTTTCCATCAAAAGAGATGCAAGCCTGGCCTCCACTCGTTGTCGAAGGAAAGTTCGCTTCTCAGCACGGGTCCACTGCACCATTTCTTTGCAAAGGGAAATCTGAAGATCAGATGTGTCTGGTACTTTAGCTACTGCATCAATAATACTATGTACAATTTTTGCAGTTTTCGCCTTGGGAATCAAGTTAAAGAAATGCCTCAACTGGGTGAGAAGGTTACGAAGATCCTCTGCTCGATTTTCTTGTCTAAGAAGATCCGTCAGATTTGTGATAGCCTGGTCATTTATCTGTAGAGCTTCAGAAGAAGAAGAAGGGTTTTCAAGAATGCGATAAAGAATAGAAATGGCCTCTAAAGCCTGAGTAATCAAATCAGTAGTTGCTGGGAGATATGATGAAGACATTGTCCAAGTCCTGTAGAAAGAGAACAGACCAAACTAATAAAATCAAATAATAAAATTGCCTCAGCATCTAAATACGAAGATAAAAACAACGACGGTTTTTTGTTCTACCGTCGTCTTTTTTTGGTCATCTTTTTTGTCATCGTAGTATATTAAAGTAAGATGACAGTAGGTTTATAATTACCGACGTAGATTCTTTCTGTTAAACATCATTAAGTGTAATATAACCGACGTGGATTTCATTTTTTAATTATAAATAGAGTTTTTTTTCACGAGTTCTTTCAGTTTTAGTTTTCAATCAGGGTTTCAACTTCTTCTTGCCCTTTTCTCTGTCTCACATTTTAGGAGGCAATTGTTTGGATGTTGGTGTGTGTGTATGTTTGTGTATCTGATTCACAAACATACATACATCACCTACGTTCAAAAAATTGTCTTTCTAAATGCAAATCTGTGGCTGCTGTCGTGAAATTTTAGGAGGCAATTGTTTGGATGTTGATGTGTGTGTGCGTTTGTGTAGATATACAAAGGCACACACCATCAACTTCCAAAAAATTGTCTCTCTGATTGCAAATCTGAGGCTGCCGTCGTCAAATTTTAGAGGCAATTTTTTGGATGTTAATATGTATGTGCGATTGTGTATCTCAAAGACACAAATACACATACATCATTAACCTCTAAAATATTGTCTTTCTGTGGTCCGATTATGATGAGGAACAGAGTTCCATCTGGTAAGATTTCGTAACTCTTGCGATCTCAAAAAAATCTGATTATGTCGGCGGTTTTCTATATAAACCGTCGTGGTTATTTCAATTTTTGTCATTAAGTTGATCTACCGACGTAGGATAACAAAATCCAAGAAATACGTTGTTAAAAAAATTCTTATTAAGACGATGGTTTAAATATAAGGTGTTACGTATAAAGTGAATAAATACGACGGTAAATTTTATAATACGTCGTTAAATGAAAAACTCCAATGTGGTGAGAGTTAAAGATACCGTCGTAGAACTATACAGGAAAGACATCGGTAAATTTATCTTTGCCGTAGTTGTACATTAATTTAATACGGCAGTATTTTGTATTATACCGCCGTGGATTTATTTGTAATTATACGGCGCCATATACGAAAACTTGGTTGTGTTAATTTTTGAGTAAAAACGGCGGCTTTTTTTTGACATCGTCGTCTTTACTTTCTACGTCGGTCTATTCATAACTTCTACCGTTCTTTGTTGGCTTAGATTTTACTGTGCGGAAATCCTATTTCAATAAGACGCCAGTTTTTAACTAAGTGTGTCGTTTTCTAGAAACAACCATTGGAATCTCCATTTTTTAGGTGTTTAAGTTGTTCTTACACGGCGGTTTTATAGAATCGTCGTCTTTTAAAAAACAACGACGGTTTTTCCTTAAACCGTCGTTTTTTTTTGTCGTCTTTGTCACTTTTTGTAGTAGTGAGAAGGTTAGATGATGTGCTTGCACAATGCAATTTGTGCATCATAGAACCAGAGAAATATGCAGAGGCAGCTCAAGATAAATCATGGCTAAAAGCTATGGAAGATGAATTATAAATGATTGAAAAAAAATGGTACATGGGAACTAGGAGACGAACCAACTGAGAAGCCAGTTATTGGAGTCAAGTGGGTTTACAAAACAAAGCTAAACTTGGATGGTTCAGTCCAAAAGAATAAAGCAAGGTTAGTTTCCAAAGGGAATGCTCATAAACCTAGATTGGACTACCATGAAACCTATGCTCCTGTAGCTAGATTGGACACCATTATAACTCTCATTGCTCTAGCTGCTCAGAAAGAATGAAAGCTATATTAGCTTGATGTAAAATCAGCTTTCCTAAATGGTGTATTGCAAGAAGAAGTCTATATAGACCAACCAGAGGGTTTTGTGATCAAAGGCAAAGAAGACAAGGTGTACAGGTTGCATAAAGCTCTCTATGTGCTGAAACAAGCATCTAGAGCCTGGTATGGAGAGATAGATACCTACTTCACTCAGTGTGATTTTGAGAAGAGCCTAAGTGAAGCTAACTTGTACACCAAGACAAAGGGAGACATGATGATGAAATAGCAAGGAACTGCTGGTTGTTTCTATCTAGCAAGTAAACTTAATATCCTAATTGTTTCTATCTATATAGATAACATTCTGTACACATGAAGTAGCAAGGAACTGCTGGTTGAATTCAAGGAAGACATGATGATGAAATATGAGATGAAAGATTTGGGCCTTCTACATCATTTTCTTGGTATGAGAGTGGTTCAAACAAACTCTAGCATATTCATACATCAAAAGAAATATGCAAGCTCTCTACTGAACAAGTTTGGCTTGAATGAATGCAAAACTGTGACCACACCTCTTGTAGCAATTGAGACATTAACCAAAGATGATGGAAGTAGAGCCACGAGTGAAGAACTATACAGAAGTATTGTAGGTAGTCTTTTGTACCTAACTGCCACTAGACCAGATATTATGTATGCCTCTAGTCTACTTGCTAGATTCATGCATTGTCCTACAAGCAAACACTATGGAACTACCAAACGAGTGGAAAGATATATCAAGGGGAACCTAAACTATGGTTTAGAGTATGTGTTACGAAAAAATGCAATGTTGATTGGCTTATGTGACAGTGACTAGGGTGGATCAGTTGAGGACAGTAAGAGCACATCTGGATATGCATTCTCTTTTGGCATTGGTGTTTTCTCTTGGGCTTCAGTCAAAAAAAATTGTGTTGCATTGTCTATTGCATAAGTAGAGTACATAAGATATCTTTGTTAACTTATTTTTCTTTTTATTTGATTTAGCAAAAAACTCAATAGAGATTCTTGTTTTTCATAATTGGAAATTTGAAGTTTCGAGTTGAAGAAAAAAATTCTCAAAATCCAAATTTTATTATTCTTTGTTCATTAGTTTTATTGTTATTGTTCGTGTTTTTAAAAAATGTTACCTAATAAAATTAATTTGTTGATAAAAAAATTTGTAATTTTAGTTTTTCATTTGTCTAAAAGGGCACTCTCTAGAAATTTGTCCTGGGTCTTTCCTAAGACCGGCTCTGATTCTAAGAAATATCTCATACAATAACCACGTGATAACTAACCTAAACAAAAATTACAACATCAAAATAATATACCAAATTAAAAAACTAAAATTAAAATTTTGCATGAGGAGAGTAGGGTGGTGTGAAAACTTCGAGTAGGAGAGATCTAATTGCAGATAAGATGTAATAACAATATTCAGATACATTCACTTGGACTTTTTTTGGTTGGCCATGGAGTTAAAAGAGTTTATGGCTTGCTTGGGGCACTTGGGCACTTATGATATCTTAAGGGTCAATGCAATTTCTCTCCCAATTTCCTCGAGCCAAAATTAAATGAAGAACATAACTAAATTATACCATTTATCTCATCTTATCCCTTTAAACCCATAAATACAAGTTTTTAAGTTCAATTTGTTTATTTCAATATCAGTTTAACTCGTTCACATGACATATGAAAAATTAAATTTAGCATTGGGATATATGAAAACTAAAAATTAAAATTAATATAGTCGGTTCCGTTCGGATCAATTTATTTTTTATGGTGTAGAATTAAAACTAGAAACAAACATCCAATCCGATCTTTTGAATTGGGTTTGACTTATTTGGTCAACTCTTTATTTTTTTCTCAACCCAATTTGGTTCGGTTGTCAGATTCTTTGGGTTCCGATACCCCCCATATGTCAGTTTGTTATTGCATGCAAATAAATAAGAATCAGAGTGAACTTAGACATGAACATTGCCACATCAATTTTGATAATAGATTGTCACACAACAAAGCTAGAGCAGGAAAGAAAAAACAAATAGAGCAAAATTATCTACCTAATTGATTCTCATACTTAATAAAATAATCAAAAAGCATGAGAGGGCGCAAAATAAGACAGTGGTAGGAAGCATAGAAAATTGAAATGGCAAAGCCCCTATGAGCCCACAGTGCACATGGATTTTACTCAACAATTCGAGACTTACGACAACGAGTTAAAGAAGACTACGTTTGCATTCACTAGATGGTACTTTAAATCTAATTTTAGAAAATATGTAATGATAATATTCAAATACACTGTTTCGTGCCTTTTTGACACTTAGTTAGGTGGGTCTCCACTTTGATGGTGCATCTAGATTGTTGAGAGTATGTCACACTATGAAAAGTTAAACGCATTTAACATAAGTTTATAAAGAGTTACGCTACTTGTTGTTAATTCTTTCAAAGTGTAAGGAAACACTCTCATTCGAAGTTGATCTTCCGTCACACCTGTCAAGGGAAAAGAGCTCACAGCATTAAAAATATCCTTTATATGGGTTAATGGATCTTCATTAGGTAAACCATAAAAGGAAGGCAACATATTAAGATGAGAAGATTTAAGCTCATAGTTTCGAGCTGCGGTGGGCAGCAAGATGCTTGAAGGGGATGCTGGAATTGTTGGGATATCAAGGTCTCCCATGAACTCATTGGCAGCCATCTCTTCTTCTTCTTCTTCTTGGTCTGAACTTGATTCTGAATTTGAAGGTGAAGAACCTGGGAGGTCAGTGTGGATAGCAAGACCTTCAAATGTGGCAATGGCTTGCTCTTTCGCAGTTGCCAACTCTCTTTCTAGACGATTCTGAATTTCAGAGATCACCCGGTTTGGTTGCAAAGATGGTCTTGTGTTCAAAGATCTCGAACGTTGGAATGAAGACCTCACTTGTTCAAGTAAGGGATTTCTAGACATAAACTACCTGAAACAGAAAATAACTTGAGTTAATTAGTACTACTAAAAGAATAGGGTAACCTTGGGCACATAACCAGGGAAGAACTTTCATTCAATCCCCGGCAACGGCGCCAAAATTTGTTGTTAATATGTTAACTCGCAATTGTACGGGCCAATTAGTAATATAGCAAGACAAGTACGAGGTCGTACCCACGAGGACTGAGAAGTTAAAATTAGTTATGTACTTAGATTACCAAATTCAAGAAAGTAGGAGGTTAAGTCTAAAATAGAATTTAAAGCAAGAGTGATTGTAATTGTTGAACAAATGAGGCAAAACGAAATTTCAAACAAAAGCAAAGTGAGCAAATGTAACAAAGAGTGTTTTTGTGGGCTGGAAAACAGATTGGGAGACTAGGGCATTCGATTCACCATAACAATTCAATTCTAGGTTATAAGGAGTCAAGTGACAAGTCTAATTCGGATTCAAAGATTGATTCTAGCTAAAGTGTGATTAGGCCATGGTGTCTGGTCCTAACCTTGTGTTCCTAATTCCCTAACTTGATCATTTGTTGTCTAACCTAAATTAAGCATTAGGAACTCATTAAGCATAGAAGAACAATTTAAACAACCAAGCATGTATCTAATCCCTGTTGTCTAATGTCCATACATACTTTTCTTATTCATAGTTCAATTCGAATCAAAGCATGGTGTCTACTCTTGATTCAAACCAAGATAGCTAATATACAAGTTCTAATGGTGATCAATCATCCAAACAAGCATATTAACTGATAAGCATAATGAATAAGAACATGAATCATGAATCAAACTTGAAACTCAAAACTTCAACTTATAAACCCAGAATATTCATGTTAGGTTACATCTAAGTCCTAGTTATGAATTTAGCTACTCATAATGGAAATGAAACTTAAACAGAAATGAGAAAACATAATGAATGTAATAAGAGTGGAAAAACCCATTTCTGAAGTTACTTGTGGTGTCCAAGGCTTCTCCAAGTGCTTCTCCACACCTAATGCTGCTCCAAGAGCTTTCTCACATCTAGAGTATGGCAACTAAAGAGGTGATTTGGGATGAGTTTGGGTGAGTGGTGATGGCAGAGAAAGAGGAAATTCGTAGGGAAATGGAAGGAAGGCTTGTTGGAGCTGTTTTGGTGATTTGGGACTGAATGGAGTGTTTGGGGAAGGATGGGAGTGTTAGAGGATGGCTGAAGTGAATTTTAGGCTGAATGGAGTGACTTTTTTTCTGAATGAGTGTGCATCACTCTATTTATAGAGTGCAAATTCGTGCTCCCCCTTTGGCTGGTGAAGCACACCCATTCCTAGCTATTCCCATTTGTCTGAGCTGCCCATTAGGTTCCCATGCTGCTGATTTGATGTGTAGCCCATGCCTCTAGGAATGTCAACTGGCCATGCCTCTTGGAATGTCAGCTGCCCATGCCTTCTGAGTTTCCATGCTGCTGATTTGATGTGTAGCCCATGCCTCTAGGAATGTCAATTGCCCATGCCTTCTGAGTTTCCATGCTGCTGATTTGATGTGTAGCCCATGCCTCTAGGAATGTCAATTGCCCATGCCTTCTGAGTTTCCATGCTGCTGATTTGATGTGTAGCCCATGCCTCTAGGAATGTCAATTGCCCATGCCTTCTGAGTTTCCATGCTGTCTTGTCAGCACATGACTCAACAGCTAGCAGTTGCATTCCTGAGCATGGTGTGCATTTTGATGGGCTCACGGATTGGGGTTGACTTAGTCAATTGATCTATTTGAGTAGTCCATCTTGCAGTTCAGACTCTCATCTTTCCAGGCACATATTATATGGGCCAATCAAAGTTGGGAGAAAGACGTTAAGGCCGAAATGAGTTGACAACCCAGTCTGCTCGTTTTTTCACCATTTTGCATCTTTTCTTATCCAAAGGCACCATTGCTACCTAAGGCTCAATGAACTGAATGATAAACAGAAAAGGGATTAAAAGCACACGTTTGACTCAATAACATAACCAAATCATAAGTTAGAAGGGTACAAAATGATATGCAATTGTGAACTGATCAAATACCCCCAGACCTAGATTTTGCTAGTCCCCGAGCAAAACAACAGAAAACAAAGTTAAAAACAAAACAAGAAGTTTAACTAAACCACTTCTGCGGGTAACTCGATTGCATTGAGCATATGCAACAAGCCTTTAAACCTCTAGGCATCCCTAGTAGGAGGAGTTGTGTCTCCTGAGGGTTTAACATAAACGATACCCACAAACGCTTTACTGACTCTACAAAACAAAAGGTTAGAAAACTAACTTTGAAAACGACTAATGAAAATGAAAGAAAACTTTAATCATACCTCCAACACCAGAGAGTTGCCAAGATAGATGATCAATAAGTGTGTAAAGTGGAAGCTATAGCTCAAAGGCACACGGCTTCAAAGTAAACATACTCAAATCTTGAAGGAAGAACATGCTTCAACTCTAATTCTCACATATAGCACTCAATCACTCAGAACCTATGGTTTTATTCTCTCAAACAAGCATAAGTGAGTATATGAAATAGAAGCAGGATATTTGGTTAGATCTCATGAAGGGAATCAAATACTAAGAATAGAGATACACACATACATACCAGCACCCATGAATACATCCTCAAAGATCAGCTAGGTCTTTCACAAGGTTGTAATGAATGGCTAAGGTTAGGGGAAATGGAAGAGTTGGAAAGAACACAATTAACTTAAGAACATACCAAGGTTGCATTCTTCATTGATCTGCAAGGTATCATTGATTTAGAATGATATGGCTGCAACTTCATAGCATCATCTGGCATAGACCTTATATTTCACATTTAGATCAAATCGAAACACTTTCTCCGAAACACTTTCTCTTTATCTTTCTTATTTGCTGACTTGATCTACTTCTTCTTTAACTTCATTGCACAGATTCACACCAATTTACGTTTAGGCATGTGGCAGCAACTTCCTTGCTTCAAACTTTATCTTGGCACACCTTGGTATATTTCTAAGCTATAGGGTATGGCTATAATAGGTTAAATATCTCAGATTGAGATACAAGGTTAGGGGAATTATGAGGGTGATAGAAGAAAAATGCTTGAAGTGTTTGGCTGCAAGAGAGCTGATGGAACACACGAATGGGTAGGGTGCAAAGAAAGCACAGAGAATGGTTATACACACATAGCCTAGCATCACTTCAATGAGTTCATTCATGAATGAGAGCACGCACCTGATATCTGCAAAGAGAATCATCCTTAGTATTCAATCAAAATGGAACAATGAGATCATTTATAGTGAATTGAAGAAAATAAGTAGAGATGAGGAATAGAAACACTTTAAACCCTCTCAAGAATGCAATTAGGCTCGAAATAGCTCACTAGGGTAGTCTCCACTATTCTCCTTCAATAATCTGAGCATGGTACCTTAGCCACCAGAATTCTAAGAGCAAAAGCTTTGTGAAGTGTAAAATTTCTGATATGAAAATCTCAATGGCAGCTCCATAGCATTGATTGTATGAAATTTAAAAAAAAATAAAAATAAATAAAAATAAAAATAGTGACAAGCGGACGAAAATTGTAAACACAAATGAACAAAAATTGAAAACCTCCCCCCCAGACCTGAATTGAACATTGTCCTCAATGTTAAAGCATAACAAAGATGAGTGAGAACATGTAAATAATAAGGGGAAAGTTTAAGACCAAGGATTAGAGAAACTCCCTCTTGATGCGATTAGGTCGACAGCTACCAAGCACCTTATTCTTCAACACATGGGTTGCCTCCCAAGAAGCGCCTTAGTTAATGTCTTGGCAAGACATTATGCGATTAGCTAACTTGATTGTACGAATGGAAGATGATCCACCACATGACCAGTTTGAATTCCAACTGACACTCCCTCATAGAATGGCTTTAAACGTTGTCCATTTACTTTGAAAGTCGAGCCATCTTTAGGGTTTTGAATCTCCACAGCTCCATAGGGAGAAACATTGACCACGGTGAATGGGCCAAGCCACCTAGACTTCAATTTTCCTGGAAAGAGACGCAAACGTGAGTTAAACAAAAGAACTGACATACCTTTGGTGAACTCTTTCCGTTGAATGTTCCTGTCATGGTAACTCTTGGTTCGTTCTTTGTAAAGCCTTGCATTCTCATAGGACTCATGTCTAATTTCTTCCAATTCATTGAGCTGAAACTTTCTAACATGGCCGGCCTTGTCCAGATCAAAATTCAACTTCTTGATGGCCCAAAAAGCATTGTGTTCAAGCTCCATTGGCAAGTGACAGGCTTTCCCAAACACAAGACGATAAGGGCTCATTCCGATGGGAGTCTTATATGCAGTCCTATAAGCCCATAATGCATCATTGAGCTTGGCAGCCCAATCTTTCCTTGTACTATTCACCACCTTCTCTAGGATCTGCTTAATTTCTCTGTTGCTTATTTCTACTTGACCAGAAGTTTGAGGATGATATGGTGTAGAGACTCGGTGGGTGATGTTGTACTTCTTCATGAGTGCTTCAAATGGCTTGTTGCAGAAGTGGCTGCCTCCATCACTAATGACAGCCCTTGGAGTACCAAACCTTGTGAAAATATTGTCCCTTAAGAACTTCAGCACCACCTTATGATCATTGGTTTTGGTGGCTATGGCTTCCACCCCTTTAGACACATAATCAACAGCAACAAGTATGTAGGTATATCCAAAGGAAGATGGGAATGGTCCCATGAAATCAATACCCCATACATCGAAGAGTTCCACAAAGAGTATGTTCTTCAATGGCATTTCGTTCCTGCGGCTTATGTTTCCCATCCTTTGACACCTATCACACTTAACACAAAAATTAAATGCATCTTTGAATAGAGTAGGCCAAAAGAAACCTGATTGCAAAATTTTAAGTGCTGTTTTCTTAGCTCCAAAGTGGCCTCCACAAGCCAATTCGTGGCTATGCCTAAGGATGCTTTCTTGTTCTTCTTCTGGAACACATCTTCTAATGAGTTGATCTGGGCAATGCTTGAATAAGAAAGGTTCATCCCAGACATAATGTTTCACCATGGAAAAGAACTTCTTTTTGTCCTGATAAGTTAGATCATTTCTAAGAACACCACAAGCAAGATAATTAACAAAATCAGCATACCATGGCTCTTTGACTTGGGCAACAAATAGTTGTTCATCTGGGAAAGTCTCATTCAAGGGTAGTACAGCTTCTCCTTGCTCTTCAATCACAATTCTGCTCAAATGGTCCGCCACCACATTTTCACATCCCTTCTTGTCTCGAATCTCCAAATCGAACTCTTGCAGCAAGAGAATCCATCTGATCAAGCGTGGTTTGGCGTCCTTCTTAGTGAGCAAGTATCTAAGAGCAGCATGGTCAGAATAAACAATTACTTTAGAACCAACAAGGTAAGAACGAAATTTTTCTAAAGCAAAAACCACAGCAAGCAACTCCTTCTCTGTTGTGGAGTAATTGAGTTGGGCATCACTCAAGGTCCGGCTCGCATAATGAATCACATGGGGAAGCTTGTTCTTCTTTTGACCTAGAACTGCACCAATAGCAAAGTCAGAGGCCTCACACATTATTTCAAATGGTAAAGACCAATCTGGAGCTATGATAATAGGGGCTGAAGTTAGCTCTTTCTTCAAGGTCGTAAAAGCTTCCATGCAAGTTTCGTCAAACTCAAAAACAGCATCCTTAGCAAGGAGATTACACAATGGTCTTGAAATGCTCGAAAAATTTTTGATGAACCTTCTATAGAATCCGGCATGGCCCAGAAAGCTTCTAACTCTTTTAACAGAGGAAGGGGGTGGTAGATTTGAGATGATATTTATCTTGGCTTTGTCCACTTCAATTCCCTTACTTGAAACAACGTGGCCTAGCACAATTCCTTGTCTTACCATGAAGTGACACTTCTCCCAATTCAAAATCAGATTTGTTTCCTGACATCTTTTATGCACTAGAGACAAGTGGTGAAGACAATCATCAAAAGATGAACCAAAAACTGAAAAATCATCCATAAATACCTCCATGAATCGTTCCACCATATCAGAAAAGATTGCCATCATGCATCTTTGGAAAGTTGCTGGAGCATTGCACAAACCAAATGGCATCCTTCTATAAGCAAATGTACCGAATGGGCATGTGAACGTGGTTTTCTCCTGGTCTTCCGGAGCAATGGGAATTTGATTATACCCTGAAAATCCATCAAGAAAACAGTAGTAAGCATGGCCAGATAAACGGTCAAGCATTTGATCAATGAAAGGCAAGGGAAAATGATCTTTTCTTGTGGATGTGTTCAACTTCCTGTAATCAATGCAAACTCTCCAACCGGTGATAGTTCGTGTTGGAACTAGCTCATTCTTCTCATTCTTTACAACGGTGATTCCGGACTTCTTTGGAACAACTTGCACAGGACTCACCCACTTAGAATCTGAAATTGGGTAGATGATTCCCACATCAAGTAGCTTTAAAACTTCAGCCCTAACCACCTCTTTCATGTTGGGATTTAGCCTTCTTTGTGCATCACGAGATGGTTTGCTGTCTTCTTCCATTAAAATTCGGTGCATGCACATGCTTGGACTAATTCCTTTGATGTCTGCTATGGTCCATCCAAGGGCTGTTTTATGCTCTTTCAGAACTTCAATTAAGCTGTCCTCTTCATGTGAGGTGAGACCTGCAGCAATTATAACAGGGAGAGTTTCATTAGCACCCAAATAAGTATGTTTAAGATGATTGGGTAGAGGTTTAAGTTCTAGCTTTGGTGGGGTAATAATGGATGGCTCCAATTTTGTGGAGGATGGTCCAAGAGGCTCGAGCGGTGGCCTAAAGGATGGTGGGTATGGCTGAAACACTTCTAAGGCAGCCATCACCTCTTGGAACTCTGATTCATAGAGATCTTCCTCTTCTTGTGTTAGGACCGCTTCTAGAGCATCATTAGACTTTTTCTGCATAATTTTAGAAGAAACCTCATGATCCACAACATCAATTGAAAAACAAGTATCAAGAGTGATAGAAGGTTGAGAGAGAGCATCAAACACTTTAAATTCAACAGTTTCACCCAAAACAGTCATGGAGAGGGTGCCATCTTTCACTTTGATATTGTGTCTGTCAGTGGCCATGAATGGTCGCCCGAGGAGAATGGGATCAACGCGGTTTCCATATGGGTTATCCTCCATATCCATCACTACAAAATCAGCCGGAAGAATGAGTGTATTAACTTGAACTAAAATATCTTCTACAATACCTTTAGGATATTTGATAGAATGATCAGCTAGTTCAAGACGAATTGAGGTTTTCTTTATCCCTTCTAAGCCAAGCTCCTGATAAACTGAATATGGCATTACATTGATGCTTGCTCCCAAGTCCAACATGGCTCTTCCAACCGTCTTATCTCCGATGTTAATGGGAATGTCAAAGCTGCCAGGATCTTCTAGTTTTGGTGGAAGCTTCCTTTGCAACACAGCACTCACATTCTTGTTGAGCTTTACTTCTTCACTTGGAGCAAAATTAAGCTTGTGAGTCATCAAGTGCTTGATGAACTTTCCATATGCAGGAATCTGTTTAACAACATCAAGCAAGGGCAAATTGATATTAACTTTACTCAAAATATCATAAATCTCTTTAAAAGCCTTATCTTGATTCGCTTTCTTCAAACGGCCTGGAAATGGAATCGGTGGAATATATGGAGGAGGTGGGATGTATCTATCTTGATGAAGATGTGATGGCACAAATTTGTCATCTCTTTTATGCAATTGAAATGGATTGGGTTCCTGAGAATCAGATTTGGCCTTAGAAGCAGATTGGGATGTTTTGGGTTGTTCTCCATCCATAGCTGTGGTTTCCTCTTCATCTTCATCCTCTACAACCACAACATCATTTGATAGATCAGAACCAACTTTGTTATCAACAATCTTACCTGATCTGAGCACATGAACGGCCTTGGCTTCTTGGTTTTTTGGATTGATCACGGTTTGGCTTGGCCATTTCCCAGGTTCTCTTTGAGCTATTTCGGTAGCTATCTGGCCTAATTGGACTTCCAACTTGGAGATGGCAGCTTGTGTAGTTTGCTGGAAATTGGATTGGTTGATTGCCATTTGCTTCACTATATCCTCCAACGATGATGATTGTTGTGGCCTTTGGAGTGAAGGGGGATTCGCTTGATTATGTGTATTTCTCCATGAAAAGTTTGGATGATTCCTCCAACCTGGATTATAACTTTGAGAATATGGATCATTTATTGGACCTCGGTTGTAGGAATTCACCAACTTAGCTTGCTCTTGCACAAATTCTGGATATGCAGCCCCAAGGGGACAAGAAATGGTAGGATGATCATGAGTTTCACAGATGCTACACACTTCCTTTGAAGGGTTTCTTGAGTTCAATGCAAGGAGGGCATCAAGCTTTTGTTCCAATTTGGAAATCTGCACACTGGAAGAATCATTAGAACCACCAGCAATACGTTTACCTCTTGTATCGGTGTGTTGGGTCTCCATTGCTATCTCCTCAAAGAGTTCATATGTTTCTTCTGGAGTCTTAGTCTTATAAGAACCACCTGCAAAATTAGTGACAATATTATGGCTAGAGGGGGTTAGTCCTTTATAAAACATACGCATCTGAAGCTTCAATGGAATCCCATGATGAGGACATTGATTGAGCAGCCCATTGAATCTCTCCCATGCTTCACAAAATGACTCATCATCTTGTTGTGCAAATAGTAAGATCTTGTCCCTAAGCATGTCGGTTTTTTGCGTGGAGAAGTATTTCTCTAAGAACTTCTTTTGAATGGCTCCCCAAGTCGTGAGTGAACTAGGCTTCAAAGAATATAACCAATATTTCGCCTTGTCTTTCAAAGTGTAAGGAAACACTCTCATTCGAAGTTGATCTTCCGTCACACCTGTCAAGGGAAAAGAGCTCACAGCATTAAAAATATCCTTTATATGGGTTAATGGATCTTCATTAGGTAAACCATAAAAGGAAGGCAACATATTAAGATGAGAAGATTTAAGCTCATAGTTTCGAGCTGCGGTGGGCAGCAAGATGCTTGAAGGGGATGCTGGAATTGTTGGGATATCAAGGTCTCCCATGAACTCATTGGCAGCCATCTCTTCTTCTTCTTCTTGGTCTGAACTTGATTCCGAATTTGAAGGTGAAGAACCTGGGAGGTCAGTGTGGATAGCAAGACCTTCAAATGTGGCAATGGCTTGCTCTTTCGCAGTTGCCAACTCTCTTTCTAGACGATTCTGAATTTCAGAGATCACCCGGTTTGGTTGCAAAGAGGGTCTTGTGTTCAAAGATCTCGAACGTTGGAATGAAGACCTCACTTGTTCAAGTAAGGGATTTCTAGACATAAAATACCTGAAACAGAAAATAACTTGAGTTAATTAGTACTACTAAAAGAATAGGGTAACCTTGGGCACATAACCAGGGAAGAACTTTCATTCAATCCCCGGCAACGGCGCCAAAATTTGTTGTTAAAATGTTAACTCGCAATTGTACGGGCCAATTAGTAATATAGCAAGACAAGTACAAGGTCGTACCCACGAGGACTGAGAAGTTAAAATTAGTTATGTACTTAGATTACCAAATTCAAGAAAGTAGGAGGTTAAGTCTAAAATAGAATTTAAACCAAGAGTGATTGTAATTGTTGAACAAATGAGGCAAAACGAAATTTCAAACAAAAGCAAAGTGAGCAAATGTAACAAAGAGTGTTTTTGTGGGCTGGAAAACAGATTGGGAGACTAGGGCATTCGATTCACCATAACAATTCAATTCTAGGTTATAAGGAGTCAAGTGACAAGTCTAATTCGGATTCAAAGATTGATTCTAGCTAAAGTGTGATTAGGCCATGGTGTCTGGTCCTAACCTTGTGTTCTTAATTCCCTAACTTGATCATTTGTTGTCTAACCTAAATTAAGCATTAGGAACTCATTAAGCATAGAAGAACAATTTAAACAACCAAGCATGTATCTAATCCCTGTTGTCTAATGTCCATACATACTTTTCTTATTTATAGTTCAATTCGAATCAAAGCATGGTGTCTACTCTTGATTCAAACCAAGATAGCTAATATACAAGTTCTAATGGTGATCAATCATCCAAACAAGCATATTAATTGATAAGCATAATGAATAAGAACATGAATCATGAATCAAACTTGAAACTCAAAACTTCAACTTATAAACCCAGAATATTCATGTTAGGTTACATCGAAGTCCTAGTTATGAATTTAGCTACTCATAATGGAAATGAAACTTAAACAGAAATGAGAAAACATAATGAATGTAATAAGAGTGGAAAAACCCATTTCTGAAGTTACTTGTGGTGTCCAAGGCTTCTCCAAGTGCTTCTCCACACCTAATGCTGCTCCAAGAGCTTTCTCACATCTAGAGTATGGCAACTAAAGAGGTGATTTGGGATGAGTTTGGGTGAGTGGTGATGGCAGAGAAAGAGGAAATTCGTAGGGAAATGGAAGGAAGGCTTGTTGGAGCTGTTTTGGTGATTTGGGACTGAATGGAGTGTTTGGGGAAGGATGGGAGTGTTAGAGGATGGCTGAAGTGAATTTTAGGCTGAATGGAGTGACATTTTTCTGAATGAGTGTGCATCACTCTATTTATAGAGTGCAAATTCGTGCTCCCCCTTTGGCTGGTGAAGCACACCCATTCCTAGCTATTCCCATTTGTCTGAGCTGCCCATTAGGTTCCCATGCTGCTGATTTGATGTGTAGCCCATGCCTCTGATTTGATGTGTAGCCCATGCCTCTAGGAATGTCAGCTGCCCATACCTTCTGAGTTTCCATGCTGCTGATTTGATGTTTAGCCCATGCCTCTAGGAATGTCAGCTGCCCATGCCTCTTGGAATGTCAGCTGCCCCTGCCTTCTGAGTTTCCATGCTGTCTTGTCAGCACATGGCTCAACAGCTAGCCGTTGCATTCCTGAGCATGGTGTGCATTTTGATGGGCTCACGGATTGGGGTTGACTTAATCAATTGATCTTTTTGAGTAGTCCATCTTGCAGTTCAGACTCTCATCTTTCCAGGCACATATTATATGGGCCAATCAAAGTTGGGAGAAAGACGTTAAGGCCGAAATGAGTTGACAACCCAGTCTGCTCGTTTTTTCACCATTTTGCATCTTTTCTTATCCAAAGGCACCATTGCTACCTAAGGCTCAATGAACTGAATGATAAACAGAAAAGGGATTAAAAGCACACGTTTGACTCAATAACATAACCAAATCATAAGTTAGAAGGGTACAAAATGATATGCAATTGTGAACTGATCACTACTCCTATATAGCCCATTAATTTTAAGATGAAACTTCAACGTCCTTCATGTTATCATAGTAGACAATCGATGTATTGGGCACAACGCCATTTCCAATTGGTTGCTTTATCTTTCGAACTTCACTTTCGAGAAAGGATAATGTATGTGGAAAATACATGACTAGTGCCAAGTGTGTTTGTCCTGAGATGTTTGAGGTTCAAACCCATCCCTAGGCATGTATGAGTAAAACCTCGCCCCCCCACCCCATCCCCTAACTAGTGGGAAAAAAAAACATAATTAGTTAGTTGATAAGCATAAAAACTTGTATGAACAAGGATAATACTATTTTGCAATCTCGGTAAACCACAGACTGCATGTGGAAAAGTTATCACGCATGGCATAACATGATTTGCTGGGGATAGCAGTGCTATTCCCGTTTCATGTAAGTGTTTCTCCTGGACAAGGCCTGGCAATGCAGTTATGCCAAAATTGATTTAGCTGCATCCTCAACTTGTGATACTCGCAAGTGCATAAGCCGTTGGGTAGTATAGCATGTGTAAGTGCTAGAGGTCGATCCCACGAGGATTGTTGATAGATTGATTCAATTCGATTCCCTGCACAAAAGAGAAATGGAAACAAGGTTTAAAGATGATTGACAAGAGTACATGAATTGAAAACAAAAAGTTAAACAAACAAAGAAGAAAGATACTAGGGAACAATCCAATTCTGAGTCTCAAACAATCACATTAACAAGTTCAATTCAAGTAAAAAGATTGATTTTCTCTAATGTATAATTTAGCCATGGTGTCTGGTCTAAACCTTGTATTCCTAATTCTTCAATCAGATCCTTTGTTGTCAAACCTAAATCAAGCATTAGAAATTCATTATGCATAGGAGAAAATTTTAAACAACCAAACATGTATCTAATCCCTGTTGTCGATGGTCCATACATACGCTTTGAAATTGGTACTTAGGAGACGAGGGGTAAATTTAAAAGATATTCAACCAAGAACACAGCAAACTTCACACACTCTAGACCTTGACCAAATACTCATACTCTTATGACTAGTCAACTGTCAGATATGAATTATGCCAAACAATAACATAGACATAGCATACCAAGATGAACCTACAAGCCTAGAGAATTACTAGTGACAACCTAGGCACTTAGAATGACCCGTCAATCCAGGCATCCCCTGTGCTAGCAACAACTTTGGTGAAAGTGTGTGAAGACAGCATAATCAAGCAAACACCAAACAGCAGAAAAAGATGACTAGTCAACTGCACAAACCCAGATGACTAGTCAACTATCAAGAACATAAACCCAAAAAATTTACAGAGATGGAAATCAGGAACTGTTCACCCAGAAACCTGCCATTGGGAAAAACTGGGGGTCATCAACCGACTAGGCAATCCACTAAGTAGAAAAAGATTCTTACAAAGGAACACAAGCAAGCTCAAGAAAAACCTAGATCTATTTAGGAAGATGAGCTATACATCTTTTGTGCAATCTTCTTCTCCAACTTAGCAAAGCTTGAAGCTCAATTCTTCATGGCAATGGCAGCTCCTTCTCCAGCTCGTTCATCCCTTGGCACTAGCTTGCAAGCTCCAACACAAACCGAAACCAAAATTTGGATTCAAAGGAGAATGACCAATTTCTTCAAGAAACCATATTCTTGAAGAAATCAGTCTTGAATCTGACCTAGATATAAATGAGAGAATGATTTAAGTAGCTAGATGCAGTTTTGTGTTTCAAATGCAATTTTTCAAAAAGAAATCAATTGGAAAAACTCATAGATGAAAATAAGATGGTTCTCTCGAGGAAGAAGAAGCGAAAGATGGCAAACCAAACTTTCCAAAACTTCCACCCAAAAGAGACAACCTCCAAATGAGAAAAATTGTAGCATTTACAGACCAAAAAATTCCTTAGGTCAGAAACCCACATGGCAGCAGAGAGAGAGAAAGAAGAATAGGACAAAATAGTTTGTTATCCAACTGGAAATCCTACAGAGCAAGGATGACTAGTCAGATGAGAAATGGATGACTAGTCATCATTTTATGAAGACTGTTTAATGTAATGATATGCAATGCACAATACCTTTGTCAACTTGCTTGAAACTCCATAGAGCAGAAATTAGAGAAGAACACCAAGAAAAGTTTACCTTAATCTAAACTTGAGCTTGATAAATAACAATAACATCTTATTACAAAGTTGTCAAGGGAAGCCAAAAGAAAATAACAAAAACCATACATTAACACGCTTCCTATTCATAGTACAATTCGAATTAAGGCATATAGTGTCTACTCTTAATTCCAACCAAGATAGCTAACATACAAGTTTAAATTCCCTCATGTGTGTTGTGTAACCATATATTTATAGTCTCCTTACTTGGCTAGGGTTTAAAGAATAATCCTTATTTAATTAGGATTATTCTTACTCAAAAAGATTATGAGAATTAATCAAAGAGATTTGCTGAAAATTGGTTCCATGATTTAGGGAGGATACTCATATCTTAAATCAAAGATAAATCTCTAACTAATTAGGGTAATTAGCTGAGGCCTAAGGACTATCCCATTTTCCATGTGCCATTCTTATTGGTCTCAAAAATATGTGTTCCCACATTGTGCACACAAGCTCGCCTGAACTTGGTCCCTACAATGGTTAGTCTCAACTACACAAAAGATCACTCCTATTATCCTATTTTCCATAATTTCTTTATCAACCCAACAATTCCAACCATCACCCATAACAAATGAACATGACAATATTAATAAAATAATATTATAATAATTAGCAACATGTAAACACCCAATATCAAGAATAATAATCAAATAGATCAGGTGGAACCCCACTATTCCGTCTAGGCGGTAAAACATAAGAATTATCAGAAGTATGAATAGAAGCACTTACCTTTATCTATGAGAGCTTGATTGGGTATTATTAGAGAAGCTTCATAAGGGGCAATCGGTTCAGTGACAGTAGTGACATCAGTTAAAATAGCAGGTTCAGCTAGTGTAGCAGATTCGGGCGGTGTAGCAGGTTTAGCAGGTTCGATCGGTTCTTCCCTTTGTATCAAACTATCCAATACTACTCCCCCTTGTAAATCTAGCCAGTTATGTCCTTCACTACTAGTCTCCCCCTGAAAGACGTGGTCGGGTGTATCAGAGAAGAACATTTCATCCTCAATAACGGTAACATCTATAGAGACATATAGACGTCGGGTTGTAGGATGATAGCATCGGTAGCCTTTTTGATGAGGAGAGAAACCCATAAATACACAGCGGAGAACACATGGGTCTAACTTACTCCTCTGATTCTGATGAAGGTGAACATAGACAACACAACCAAACACTTTTGGAGACAGAGTCAGTATCGAAGAGGCAGAGATATGATGGGTCAATACCTACATAGGAGTTTGGAAATCCAAAACTAGTGAAGGTAGACGATTCAAGAGATAGACTGCATATGTAACAACATCCATCCAAACCGCTTCGAAACCGACGCACCAAGCAGCAGAGCACGGGCAGCAGTAAGGATTTGCCCTTTTTTACGTTCAGCAACCCCATTCTGTTGTGGTGTTTGAGAGCAAGTAGTCTCATAAAGTACACCCTTAGTGTGAAAAAAATGGGATAACGCTGAATTAACAAATTCTCCACGATTATCATATCGAAAAACCTTGATAGGGAGCATAAATTGAGTCTGAATCATCTGATAGAAACGTTGAAAATTTTCAAAAACATCACTTTTATTTTTCATCCCATATAACCACATCATATGAGTGCAATCATTCACAAATAACACAAACCAATGAACTCCCAAGGTTGTAGAAACCAGGGAAGGTCCCCAAACATCATAATGAACTAAATCAAATGGCATAAGCCGTTTATTACAACTTGGAGGGTAGGATACCCAATGACTCTTAGCTAAAATACAAGTCTGACACTAGAAAGCAGACTCGTTGACACCACTAAATAATGCAAGAAACAAATGCCGTAAATATCCAAGGAAGGCATGACCAAATCGGTAATGGAGCAACCAAATCCGGCGATGCTGAGAAGTTTTGGCGCTACCAGCATGAAGAACCCGACTAATTGCCACATCATCCACATAATAAAGCCCCCCCCTTTTAGTACTACAACCAAAGATCTCCCAAGTCTGGATATCCTATAGTAAGACAAAAAACAGATACATCAGTACAACGCAGTTTAACTGCTCAGTAACTTGCGATACAGATAATTACAAAAACCTTGAGCTTGATAAATAACAAGAGAACCTTGAACTTGCACCAAGAGAAGCTTTTCTTAATCTAAACTTGAGCTTGATAAATAACAATACAAATCCTATTACAAAGATGTCAAGGGAAGCCAAAATAAAATTACAAAAAACATACATTAACACAATGAAGAAAAGAGGAAATTAAAATAAAAAATTTAGATTTGATCCAAATTGGATAAAGCCATCACACCAGGGTCGGTAGCGTTAAAGATATATCAAATCAACCCTTGAAAAAAAGAGAAAGACTCAATTCAAAGCAGATTTCATACCACGTTTCTTCTTCATATCAAGAGAAATGCAAGTTCAAAATATCAAGAGATGGCATCTGCAATTGTGATCAGTCATGTCCATTCTTCTGTCATCACTTCCTGTAATGTTTTCACCAATAATAGAATGAGCCACACTTGAAGGAACCACCCAAGACCTCTGATGAAGGTGTATGAATAGGGCTAGCGGTTTCTCCACGACGTGTTTGCAAAAATTAATAAATTCTGCCGGTTTTTATTTTTCTTTTATTAATTTTTGTTTTACAATTTTATCCTATTTTAATTAAAATAATGTAATTTAGTATTTTACGTTACCAAGGGTATTCTGGGGCTTTTGAGGCTTTCCGCCTCTATATATATATAGATAAATTTCAAACCAGACAAGGATCCCAAGCAGTGAAAATGTCTACCGGCTGGCTATATCTGAAACCTCCACTTGGTGATCAGAAACAAGGTTCGGAGGATTCTTCTAAGGCGAACACCGACCAACAAAACAGCAACAGCTCGAAATCCCCATCAGTGAGCACCAAAACTCTCCAACCCAGGAAAAAAGACAAGGGCGGAAGAGGCAATGACTTCAGCTTCAGCATCGTTGGGAATAATATTACGGGGAAAAAATCGGAGAGAGTAGGAATTTTCGAGTTTGGCAACACCCACATCTACAAAGGCCACGGCAAAGAAAAACTAGTCGACTCCGGTGGAGAAACTGACTCCGCATCCAGTACTGATGAAGACGAAGCTGAACTGATGACTCACTGAGGTCTGTAGCTAGCTAGGGCCTCCCCTCCCTTCTTAATTATATGTACTATTCATCTGATGAATAAAATAAAAATATATATTATGTTGATGGTCGTCAATATACAATATTAATGCACCTCTCTCTCAAGTTCAGCAACAGTGGCATTATTTTACGAACCATAAAAATGGAAAATGAAGAAGCAGAGTTCGTTCATCAGATTTTTGTGAAAAATGAAGTTTTACGAACATTATAGATATAACAAATCTCTCGTTATCAAAAAAATTCGTTTATTATAACCAACCGTATTATGTACTTTCAAATACTAAAACGAACTTTACGGTGATCATCACCATGTTCACAAGATCCTAGTTTGATTAGGATATTTATTTCCTATTCTATTTGAATTTTTTTCTTTCTCTTTTGTACAAATTTTGTGTAATTAGAATTTTATTTGTTTTTTTGTATAACCCTACTAGGGTTTACACACTTGTATTATAAATACCTTATTTTGATGAATGGAAATATATCAAAAAAATGTTTTACCCTATATTGTTTGACTCGACATCGCTCTTGACGTTTTGAATCCCTTAAAATGTAGAATTTGTACATTTTAAAATCATAAATTAATAATAGCAATACCTGGGCCTATTTTCAAGCTTATGTACTGCTCCAATAATTAATATCATTAGTATCTTTGCTAACGTTACAGCAAAAAAGAGGGGAAGTTGTTGTAATTTTACGATAAACAAACTGGAAAGCATCTAAGATGCTTGAGCCCCTCAATTCTCAGTAGGAGTGCAAGTATAATATATAATGTGTCAGATGATCACAGGCAACTATAGCTTATATTTATAATGAATTTTTATTTTAATACATATCATAAGTACATAAAATATTTTTACATAATATTTTTATTGTCAGTGAAATAGTTTTTCCCATTTGAAAAGTTGTAGTAGGTTTTTGAAAAAATAAAATAAAATATACATTCTTTGAGGGCATGATTCCACTAATCAAACATTTCTTCATTTCGATTCATGATAGTCAGTATATATTTTAATGAGAATTCATGTTGATTCGATTCATTCTCACTCTGATTCATAGTTAACCTTAAGGTTGAGTGATATTTCTTTTTCCAACGATTAAAGAATCCCAAATTCATAATAAGGATGAAAAAAATGACCCTAATTAAATAACCAAAGCCCTCCATTATCAATAGAGCACCAAATGACAAAGCACATAAGAATTGTCACTAGGTACGTGGTGACATGCGATGTGAAGACACAGGATAAAACATGGTGACACCCAAAGATTGTCACTAGGCACGTGGTGACCTTCAATATAAAATTTTTGCAGGTGACCAGCCGGAATATGTGTACATATCAAAGGAAACTGCGGAAGTTAATATAAAATTGTTCATATTTTTATATTTTTATATAAATATGAAAAGTGGATTGGCTAAAAATAAAACAAAGATGCTGTTTTTTTTGTTTTTTTGTTTGTTTGTTACAAAACACAGGAGCTCTTTGTTTAGAAGCCAACTGGGCATATACTACGTACAGTCTGTGAAACATGGCCACTTACAAATGTCTGTCCGGCCCCCCTTTGCATTAGGACAAGAGTGGTCCTCTTTTGTCCTGCATGTGATCAAAACAAAAATTCAAAGTAATCAATTAGCTAGATAATTTATAATTGTAAGCACTAATTATAATTTCTTATATAATTTATGTGTGAACTTCTCTTTCAAAGGTGCATGTGCGTGTCCGAAGAAGTCAAATATTTTTTCCACAGGAGTATCTTTTACTACACTATCGATCATGACTATTAATTGTTTTTGGTTTTTTGATTTTTTTAAATTTTTTTGGATTGCATTCATAATTTAGCTTAAAAAGCCACTAGTCACAAATGGCGAATACAAACTTGCCATAAGGGGCAATTGCAATATATAACAGAGTGATCTAACATCAAAATTAAGACAATCTGGTGTGCCTCCATTAACGAACACTCATGATCGAAACTCTAGTATAAGCATCCCAATTAAGATTGTAAACTCATAATAATCAAAAAGAGATAAAGCTTGAAAAAACAAAGTCATAACAATACAAATATAACTCATACAAGGGAAAGATGAAAAGCTCTCACAAAAGGAGATATGAAAACTACACAAAGAACTCAAAGAGTCTTTGTGACTTATTCCAAACACAAAAAAACCGCAAAAATGATGATGTTGAAGATCCGACGCCAAAAATGTAGATGGAAATCCAACACCAAGACGAAGCCGCATGTGATGGTTGGAGGAAAATCATAACAAAACGAAGATAAATAGAGAAAAACTTATGTATTTGAAAATATGGGAAGAGGAGAAAGGAGGAAGAGAAGATAGAAGAGAGGAGGAAGAACTGAGTTGTTTAGAATATAACTGAGATTAACTATAAAAATCAACTTATTTGAATCTTCGTTCCATTGCTATCTTTGGATTTATTTGGTTTGCCTAAGTTTGATTTTGCTTAATTTCTTTTTCGATTGTTAGTTTGTAATCATTTTATTTTATTTTATTTATTTTGTCGAGATTCGAAAAAAAATTTGAAAAACTTGAACCTTTCTCCACACACATAATCTTTTTTCACAAGACTTTTCCAATTTTGTTTTTTTGTTTTTTTGTTTTTTGTTTTTTTTGTTTTTTTTGGCTGGGAAGACTTTTCCAAGTTGATCATTTGGAATACTGCAGATATAACAAAGATTAATAAACTTATGACCCAAAAAAAAAAAACGAAACAAAGATTAATAAATAAATCCACATACATAATAGTAACTTATTCCATTTTCAAGAAGTGGTCCATGCTCTCTTAGAAATACCCGTTCAAAACATCTAGTCCCTATTGCTAGTCGAACATAAGAACTCTACGGAGAGTAGAAGACTTTCTTTTGAGCTTTCATTAATGGCAGGTATGTACTATTCTGATTAATATTTTTATTTGATTCAAGATATTTTCCTTGATGTGATTCTATGCGTGTATAGGGTTTAAGGAATTTATGAAATTAGTTTACAATAGTAACTTCCATTTATTGAAAGATTACCTTCCATCTGATTGAGTATTGGCCTCCACTTATTTGAAGATCTTTCCATTTTAATCTTCGCATATATATAAGATGGGTCTCGATCTCAAACTGAAGCTGAACAACTGAACCAAAGCCCTCAAGAGATGGTAAGAAACCGCTTTTCTGGTCACCGTAGAACTCTTTATGAACAAGAGCCCCAAGGAGAAAGAACTGAACAAGTGCTCCAGCAAAATGATAATAGTGAGGCAGAAAATACTGATCAAAACAACGAGACCAACAACATTAATGAGAATTATTTCTCCGCATTTGGAAGCACAGATGTTGGGATTCAAGACGCTTACAATGAAGAAGGCGGAAGTGGTGATCAAGCAAGGACGGGTGGAAACTGCTAAAATATGAAAACTATGAGAGAATATTTGTTTGTGGGAATTTTCTATGTATTCTTCTCCTTGTAGGAGGTCATATTTATAATACAACAAAACCTGAATGGGCAAGTAAATAATAAATTCCTAAATCTATTTACAGTAGGAAATCAGGAATTAAAGTAAATCAATTACAAATAAAATAGGAATCCTTGGTGTGTAAGGAAAGTAAGTCAATATCCACAAGTCATGCCAACACTCCCCCTCACGTTGGTACATAGATGTTGCCAATGCACAACTGATCCAGTGAATTGTGGAATGCTTTACTGGAAATCGCCTTTGTCAAAATATCCGCCAATTGATCCTCGGATTTCACAAAAGGAAACTGAAACACTTTAGCCTCAAGCTTCTGTTTGATGAAGTGTCAATCCACCTCAACATGTTTAGTACGATCATG